TGTTCGTTTGGGCTCCTCGTCCAACCGCAGAGTGAATTCTGGGGCCGGTCACACCGTCCAACACAGCACCGAATCTAAAACAATCATTTGAAGATTAACAAGGAAAAAAAAAACTGAACAGCACAATTGTGACGAGTCGAGCGGAGTCTGTCTTCATTAAAAAAAAGAAAAGAGGTCAGAGGAATCAGAGCGTGCATATGATTCCATGCAGATTTGATATGATTCATGTACATGAACTTAGTTGGTAATGAAAAAAAAAAAAAAAAAGAATATCAACAGCGTGGGTACGTCGGTGTGTGTGCGCTGTTCTGCCCTCGCCTCGGGCCAGAGGAGGCACAACTCCAAGTAGGTCACCGCTAACAGGACATCAGATGGCTGATGGGAACGAGGGAAGGAAAAGAGAGGAGATGTAAGGATGGTGTTGGGGAGGAGACGACAAAATAATGAGAGGTGGTGGAAGATGAGGAGGGAAGAGTAGAAAAACGAGGTGAGCAGAGATGGAGTGGAAGGAGAGTCAGGGAGGAAAAAGTGGACTGTTGGTAATAAAGGTGATGAAGCTGTGACTGGAATCAGAATGAATTGATTCACAGATTACAAAAATCAAAGCAGAAGAGTTAGAGGTGGGGATGGATTCACATCGGTGTCTTGAATTGATTCAGAAATGCCAAAAAATATTCTATTGTTGTAATAATATCAGGATGTGGACAGTGTACAGCTCAAATATATCGTCTCGTTATCTTGTAGGTCTTTTTTTTTTTTTTTTTTTAAAGGCAGGATTTGGACAATTTAACAACAATTTTCTGTCATTTTACAGATTTATGTTTTTGTTAAACAACAGACAAAAGTATTAATTCACAGATTAACTGTAAAAAAAAATGTCTGTCAAGAATCTTTACAATGTTTACCTTTTCAAATTAAAATAAAAAATACAATTATGCACACGAAGGACTGAAAAATAGTAAATCATTTAAAAAATATATACTTTTACAGATATTTTTTTTCTGTTTTACTAAATTACAGATAAAGTCACAGTAAAAGAAAAAAGGAGAGAGAAACAGCCAAACTATAACTGATGTCAACATCAAAAATTTGTACTTTAACAAGTCGTAATAAATAGTAATAAAAATTCCAGTTTCTCTGTATTTAAATCAGATAAAAATTTCAGTTTGTAGCCACGTGATCACAGTTTTCCAGCATTTTTAAAATGTATTTTTAATGGTGTTTTCATCAACAACACTCTGGAAAATATTGGAGGTTTGTTTGCTTTGTGTCTTTTCTCACTTTTTAGCAGCAAGAAATCGAGTTTCGATCCACTTTCATTTTTCAAGAGATGCTTGGGAGATAACATTTCGACTCATATGGGCGGCTGCGACTCAGATGGTAGAGCGAGTGGGTCAATGATCAGAAGGTCGGCGGTTCGATTCTGCCCTGTAACATGTATCATGTGTCCTTGGGCAAGACACTTCACCCGCCTTGCCTGGTGTGAATGCGAATGAATGAATGAATGTGTGTGAATGAAAAATTGACAGCGTAAAGCATCTTTGAGTGCTTAGAAAAGCACTCTATAAATCTGATCAATTATTATATGCTTGTGTCAACGGAGCCCCTTTCAATAATCCAACAAATAAATTCCATCTCTGCAGATATCTGCAGCCTGACTCGTGTTTATACACAACATGAAGCTGCTCTCCTCTAGTCTTACTAGAATAAAGCAGACTAAACTCAGTGGGCGCCCACACGCTTCACTTAGCAATTTAACCTACATAAGTGAAATAAAGCATTAGCTGCCGCCATAAACGCACATATTCAAGCAAAAAAAAAAACACATTTGAGACACTGAGCTGAATGAGCGCTTTGCAGGAAATCATCAAAAACAGCAGAAATGAGGTTCAGTTTGGGCAACAACCAGCAGCTTTTAACCAGCAAACATTTTAATAGCTTGATTGGAAACGTATTGCAGATTTCATTTCAAATACCAGCAAACAACCTAACTTTAGCCATTTATGTGTGTTGGGGGTTTCTCATTATAGATCTGTACGATTCATCTGTGAAATACGACTGGTATTAGGTCCACTTTAAAATATCTGACTGGTCATTACTCCAGGTCAAGACAACTTCAGCTCCTCTTGATTCAACGTATCTCAGTTGCTCTTTTTAGCTCCGTAAGTTACGTTGAAACCAGTCGGAATAATGTCGTCGAGATCTCAAACTGGACTTTTGTCAAGTCAAACTTTCGTCATGGATATCCTAAATTGGGCTTTTGACTGGGTGAAAGCTACGGCAAATAGAAGCAGTTTTACTGCCAGGGTTCCAGTAAATTTGACTGTAAATGTCCACTTGTTTTCCCACGAACTTCTTGTTTATAAGATTTAATATTTTACAGCATTTTCATTTTCACCACAGCAGCTACCATTACTTCACTTATCACTGTTTACAACAACTCAGACTAGTTGTACTGATGTCTGCGGTTGTTATATTGATGAGTCAAACCTGAAACCTCAGAACGACACTGTAGATGTTTGGAGTAAGAATTCTGACTAATGCAGCCGAGTTCAGTGTTTAAAGTGAGGCCGGGCCGCTGGGATTTCACGCGTCTCGCTTGTGTCGTTTCGAGGTTCGACTTGAAGCTGCCGGTGCCACTTCAAGCCGATCAGAATTGTTTTCTTACGTAATCGAAGACGTCTGATGGAGCGGCTGTGAATGTAGGGCTGTGGGTCATCTGGACCTATGACACAAAGTCTGTGTGTGTTCCTGCTGTAATATTTTGTGTATTTTGTAGATGTGTGTGTGTGTGTGTAGGACGGAGACACACATGGGTGTCAGTGTGTTTCTTGTCAACCTCGGGCATGAATGAGTTTGTGCTGACCTACATCGTGCTTCAGCAAACACGCCCACGTGTCGGTCTTTGCGCCGTTGTGAGGACCGTAAATGGTATAATGTGTTCGCTCTGCCATTAGCCTGCATTGATCTTCTCATTTAAAAGCCTGACCTGAAGCCAGACCTCAGTCCAACCTGAGCCACGATGTCCTGCTTTTGCATAAACGTCCTCTAAATCACAAACTGGTCCTGATGAGAGCAGATGTACGACGCTGCTGATGCCGGCCCGACTGTACTATGTGCACATACAGTATACATGTGCACACACAAAATAAATCACACACGTAGTTACACACATGCTGATGCACACTGACGCATGCAGTCATGCAAACACACACATGTACAGTCTGTCTGTCGTTGGAAAATGCTGAATGTGACGTTCCAGCACAAATCAGAGGAACCTTCTGTGTGTCTGAGAAGAACAATTCAGGCTTCAGGGAATAAATCATCTTTCACTGTTTTTTTTTAAAGGAAATTTTAATTTTCACCAAGAAAATAATAGTTGCATGAATTGATAATGAAAATTGCTGTTTTTTTTTTCAGACAGTTTGTAGATGAAACAGGTAATTGGTTGATTGGAGGATAATCAGAAGATCTGTTGATATTTGAAGCAACTGTTGGTTAAAGAACAGAAGCAGTTTGGCAGCTGTCATTGTTCTGGAGAAAATGGAAAAGCTTCAAATGTGTAGGACTTCTTCCTACTTT